CGGGGTGGGGGTGGAGACCCTCTTGGCCAGAACTAAACTCCCCCCACCATGCAGGCCCCCTACGTTCCCCTGGAGCTGGGGTTGGAGCAGCTGTTTAAGGAGCTGGCGGGAGAGGTGAGGAGGGGGACGGGGGATCCTGCCCTTCCCCTTGGACCCCTCTCTCACCCCGAATGTCTCATTTTGCTTTACTTCCTCCGCCCTGTGCTTAAATTTCATGATTTCTCAAAATGCTCGCAGCTCTTCCTTGCCTCAGGGACTTTGTCGGTCTGTACCTCTGTCTGGCCCTCTTCTCTCCCTACAAACACACGCACGCACACGCGCGCACACACGCGCGCACACACACGCTCCTCCCCCTCCCCCAGGCTGGTCCGCGCATGCCCGCTGTGGGCTCCCGCCGCCCAGCGCTTCCCCACCGCAGCCCTGACCACACTGACCACGGAGAGCTCCGAGGGGGCAGGCCTGGGCTCGCTTGGTCTCTGCTGCGTCCCCAGCACCAGCCAGCATGCCGTTTCGGCCAGGCCCAGAGCCGGCGGTTGAAGGGCTGCCTGTCAATGGCCTCACACGCGGCTCTCTCCTTTATCAGGAGGAAGAACTCGGTGCCCCTCAGCTCCAGGCCTTATTAAGCATTGCCCTGGAGCCTGGTGAGTTGGGGATCAGAGCAGACCCCTCGGAGCCCCCTGTGCGTTAATCCAGGATGCTGCTGGGAGCCAGGCCTTGGGAAACCCGGGCTCAACCGGACAGCGCCTCCCCACACGTGGGCCTTATGGGCAGGCTGGTGGTCAAGACCATGGCCACTCATAAGCCCCCTTCCTCCGAGGGAGAGGCAGGGAGCGTGGCTGCTAGCACTTGGAACCCACTTACCTGGCTTCGAATCTCACCTCTGTTAGTTACTGGCAGCCCTTTGGCCCTCTGTGCCTCAGTTTCTGTAAAATGGGGGCGGGGGAGACGGTAACCTTGAGCACTCACAATGACAGCTGGCCCACCAGGAGTTTGCTTCCTGTAGCCAGCGTGCACCCCCGCACCCCCGCAGACATCGGGCTCAGGACCTGTGAGCAGCTGCTGCAGTGCTTTGTGGTACATGATGGCGACCGTGCCTGGGTAGGGAGGATGGGCGTGTTGGGGCCTCTGCTCCCCTTCTGGGAACATTGACTTTAACCAGATGTCCCATCCCCAGCATGGGCGAAGCTTGGCCTTGCACGACTTCCAGCAGCTCTGGAGCCACCTCCAGAGGTGGCAGGTAAGGGGGCGGGGCTGGGTGGAGATACCTCCTCTTGGAGGGAGAGGCACCTTACTAATAGGGACGTGGGTGCTCTGTGGGCTAGCAGGGCCCCGAGGGAAAAGAGGTACTGGACCACACCATGCCAACGTGGAGGGGTCTGGCTGGGACGTCCCTGCCCCATCGCCCTCTGTGGTCCTTGAGGGGTACTAAGTAGCTCAAGGATCAAGAGCACAGGGCTCTGGTCCTGGGTTGGCATCCCAGCTCCAAGCTTAGCCCCTTTCTGGCTATGTGACCGCAGGCCAGTCACCTCCCTTCTGACTGGCCTTTAAGTGTCTACCAATGAGAGGTGGCAATTCCTGCCCCCCACATCCGTGTGAGGAGAAAATGGTCCAAGGCCTCTCCATGCTAATAGCGATAAGCCCCCATTTATTGAGTCCTCACTAGGCCACAAGGGGAGTCTTAACTCATCCTCACAACAGCCTTGTTACTGCTTTTACATTTGATCCTATTTTACAGATTGGGAAACAGGCCCAAAGTGGTAAAGCTGTTTGCCCAGGAAGAAGGGGAGCTGCGGGGGGAACCCAGGCTGTCTGGCCCTGAGGTTCCCTCTGAGCCCTCTTCAGGAAGCTCAGGGGCCTGGGGGTGAGACTGACCTCCTCCCTCCCGCCCAGGCCATATTTGACAAATTCGATCGGGATGCCTCTGGAACCATGAACTCCCATGAGCTGAGGCTGGCACTGAATGCTGCAGGTTTGGACAAAGGTCCTGGGGTGGGTCGTGGGGAAGGGACTGGCTCTCCTTCCTCCCCCTGTCCTCCCGGAGTCCCGGCTGCCCACTTGGCTGCCACCACCCACAAAGCCGACACCTTAGCTTGTTGCCAGCTCTTGGCAAGGACTGGGTGACCCTGAGATGCCGAGGGGAGAATCCTCTGTGTGAGGAAAGGAGGGTGTGGGAGGTTGCTGGGCAGAGCGTCCCGGATTTTCCCTGAGCTTGGGTTGGAATCCTCACGACACTTACTCTTGGGTAGCCCTGGGCACATGACCTCCTTGGGCCTCTGTTTCCCTCTGTAAAGTGGCTGTGACACAGGGTGGCTGCAAGAGTGTGACCTTCCCCTTGTGTGGAGAGGGCTGGCGGGGAGGGTCAGACAGAAAGTCCTAGATCCCCACCTACCCCAGGGCTGGTCTGCCACAGCGAGACATGGGGAGGTCAGAGGTCCAGGGACGCGCAAGGCAAGAAAGGAGCTGAAGACAGAGGGGGAAGAGATGGAGTCAGAAGATGGAGTGACATGGAACAGTGAGAAATGAGTCCCGGACAGAAGCAGGGGTGAGAGGACAAGGGGACGATCTCGTCCCACTTATTCCGTGTCAGGGTGCCTGGTGCGTGCCGGTCGTTCCAGGAAGGAAGCCGATCAAGTGCTTTTGAGGGGCAGGTGTTCTGGTGGGACAGGCAGACAACAAATAAGGCACCTAGGCAGGCCAGGGCGCTAGGGCACGCGGCGGGGGGCTGGGGGCGGTGGCGTGACACAGGGCGGTCAGGGAAGGCCTTGCTGATTCCCCCGGACACCCACTTTGCCCTCAGCCCTGGGCCTTCTGACGCTGGGGATTCAGTGGTCACCACGAACCCTTTCCTGACGTCTCACGGCTTCCAGTCCAGGGGCAGCCAGAGCCACCAATGGCAATGAGAGGCCAGAGTGGTCAGGGTGGGGACGGAGAGGCGCAGGGAGCTGTGGGAGCCCAGAGTGCTCGATGCTGCGTGCGGGGGTGTCTTCGAGGGCTTCCCGAGGGGGTGTGTGATGAGTAGGGATGAGCCCGGGCTGAGAGGACGATGTGTTCCGGGCAGAGGGAACAGCATGTGCAAAGGAGGCAAGGCGAAGTCCGAGGTCCAAGTGGTGGGGAGGGGCGTGGGAGACGAGGTGCAGTCTGTGAGGGCCACCAGGAGGCTCAGGACAGTCAGGCCCTGGGGACAGGTAACTAGGTGGTCATGGTCACTAGGGCCCAGTAAATTTGGTGAGGGGCTTCACCAGTACCAGGGGACCCTGGGCAGGACCCCATACCAAGGCACTACGGGACACAGAACCCATGAGAGGAGTCAGAGGAAGCGGGCAGTTTCCACGAAGGCCAACAGGAATTCCAGAGGGGACAGCTGAGGGGCTCTTGGCCCTTCTGCCTCCTTCGCCTGGGCTTTCCCACGGCCTTGAGCACAGCAGCGCTTCTCCCCCAGTCCTGAGGGCAGATGAAATCCAGAATGACCCATGGGAGCTCACATGACCAGGATGAGGCCGCAGGCCCCTGCCCAAGACTGTTCAGCTGCACCTAGGCCACGGCACAACACGTGATGGCACTTGACAAATACTTGTCAAATCTGCAGAGTCGGGGGAGGGTGGGCTTTAGGAGGCAGCAGAGGTTCATGGAATTATCCCGGGACTATGTTTACCTGGACCTGTGGATCCGTGGAGCACGGAGGAAGGGAGTCAGTCACCCTGTAGTTGAGCCCCGGAGGGGGACCTGTGACCTGGGAGAACCAGTGTTTGTGGCTTTTCAGAAGTTCTGTTGAGATTCGTCATCAGAGATGTTTTCTGCTGGGCAGTGTAAAGAAACGGACTCCATATGGGACCGACAAGAATGTTTTGCTGTGCAGAAATATTCCCCAGTGTCCACTGGTAGAAATTCTGCAGTTTGAAGCAGTAACACTGACACAGCTATGTGCCAGACACTGGCCTAAGCTCTCTCCAGAGAATACCACACCCCCTTATGGGGTCGGACATAGTCCCCATGTGACAGATGAGGCAACTGAGGCCCAGAGTGGTCTAGGGAGTTGCCCGTAGCCACATAGCTGGGTTGAGGCCGAGCTGGGGTTTGAGAGGTGGCAACAGGCCTCCGTGGTGTCTCGGTGTCTCCCTGAGGAGTGAGGGTCGGTTCATGGCAGCCCGCCCTCAGAATTGCCTCCCCCTAGGCTTCCACCTCAACAACCAGCTGACCCAGGCCCTCACTAGCCGCCACCGGGACAGCCGTCTGCGTGTGGACTTTGAGCGCTTCGTTTCCTGCGTGGCCCAGCTCATCTGCATCTTCCGTGAGGGCCACCCCGGCACGGGTGGGGCAGAGGGAGGCTGTCTCCCATGGCAGGGGGACTGGGGTGGTAGGTGCTTAAGACTCCTGCTCTTCTCTGCACAGGCCACTGCAGCCAGCACCTGGATGGGGGTGAAGGGGTCATCTGCCTGACCCGCAGCCAGGTGAGTCTGGGCTGCAGGGAGAGGGTGGCGCAGGGTGGCGCAGGGAGGAGTCCCAGGAGAGCCCCGGTTCCAGCCTGCTTGTCTTCTCTCGCCCAGTGGCTGGAGGTGGCCACGTTCTAGGATATCACACGGGAGCGCCCGTGGCTGGAGGCAGGAGAGCTCCTGGGAGCCATGCCTGTCCCTCTGCCAGCCTGGACCAGGGTTTATTCCACAGCAAGTGGGAGTCTGAGCAAAACCAACCTCCTGCCATCCCTCCACCTCTCTGCCTGGCATGGGGGCTGACGTTCCATACGCAGTGGTTGAGAGCATGGCCTTGGGAGCCAGCCTGCCTTGGAGCGCATCCCTGGCCCCACCACTCGCCAGCGGGGCAAGTCCCTGCAGTTCTCAGTGCTTTGCCCGCCTCACCTGCACAGGGACGGCAAGGGCACCTTCCTCGTGCTGGTTACGTGAGTCAGTCAGCGTTACGCAGCACAGGGCCTGGCCCAGACTGGGTGGGTCTCATTTTCACACACTCATGGGAATGGAGGTCGTGGCACGTCCAGGCCCGGCCTCACTCTGGGACAAGGTGTTTTGTCACTGTTCTGCTAAGTAGACAGCAGAGACAGGAGAAAGAGAGAGGACACTGCAAGACTCCTTCTTAAAAATATTACATGTTTTATTATCCTGTCCCCAGAGGGGTGGTTTATCCAGAAACCAAGAAAAATAATCAGAATAAACTCAAAAAAAGGGGGGAGGGTGGGGGAAGATAGGCGCAAATCCATCAACTAACAGGCAGCCAGGCCAGCAGCCCCCTCCACCTCAGGAGGGTCCCAAGAGACCCACGCCTGACAAACAACAGAGAAATCAGTAAGGGGCTGGGGAAGGGTTGCGAATCAGCTATGTCTTCATTATGAGAGCAAGAGGCGGCAAGGATATGTTGCTAGGTGAATATATATTTATATAATAAATCCGTAAGTTAATAAAGTAAATAGTAATTCTCTGGATGTTTTTATTTATTTTTTTTATAGCATTTTTTTGTGATTTTTTTTGTTTTTTTTGTTTGTTTGTTTTTGGTCCTTAGAAAATCAGACTCAGGTCCAGACAAAGCAAAGTGGGGGTTGGTTGGGGGCAGGGGCAAAAGGCTGGTCTGCCCAACCCTAGTCCTCTGCTGCAGGAAAGGCGGGCAGCACCCCCTCATCTCTGGACACTTACAAAGGAA